GGCCGGAACTCCAAGAGTAGTAGTGGAGGTAGGAACGCTGTGAGCCCCAAAACATGGTACTCCGTACCATGCGGAGGAAAATGAACTTCGAGACAACCGAAAGATGCGGCGTGCTTTGGACTACGTAGCCTGGCGCTCAGACCTAGATGTTTGGATTGAATACTCCTCCATCTATATGAACATCGAGAAACCACCGCGGTACACAGAAGCACATAGGAAGGAAGAACTCTGGTTCTGCGCTAGTACGTGGAAGAAAAGGAGGAAGAGTACAAACCTGGTTGACCGATTCCGAACTGAACTGCGACACGACAATGGACTTCGAACTGCATGCGGAACCAATTCCCCGCGCTGACATAATGTTTGCCCGACTTACTCGGCGTCGATGCTTCCAAGCTTGACTCGACGAATTCATCGTGCTGCCCGGCGCCTGTGTTCGCCGCAACGGCATGAGTGAGTGGTCGTTGGCCTAGGCATCGGGTCACGAGCGTGCGGTGCCGTGCATTCCGTGTGGACGCTCTTGGTACATCGTCACAGAAAAGCATTATCATTGTTGAATGTGTTCAGTTTATGCGTATTGTGTCAGTTGTCTATGTCTTTCAGTTGTGCTCCGTCTTACTTGAGAATGTATTTTCTGTGTTCACAGTCACGGCTCTGCGCGTCCGAGTTCCTGGGTCCACGAACAACCACAGTCACCGAGAATAATTGTCAGCTAAGTGAAACCAGCTGTACGCTTTTAATATGGCAACCTAAGAGCTGAATGTTATTTCAAGGCACATGAAGTCGAGTTACACTTGAAAAGTGTAGAGATTCTTTTAGGTGTGGCACAATCTTGTCACATATTTTTGCCTTTATTATTATTATTTATTTTTTTCACTGTCATCCGTCCATGTGGATGGGCGATGATAAAGAATACCACTGCCAAAGTGCGTTTTTATGCCGGTAAATCTTTGAGTGTATATTACAGTGCCCTGTGGTGCCGGCGAGACACTTGAACATTCTAGTCTACTCTATGAACATGTCGACCCTTCTTAACCCAGCGTTTCGCTGTTCTTGAACTGGGGGGAAGATGTGGTATAAAACGCTGCCCTGGAGAGTGTGCGTCATGCTTTGACGTAGAAAAATCGGTGTGCGGGGCCGATTTAGTAATTCAAGGTGCGCGGGAATCATGATGATGGTGATAGCGCTAAAACTATGAGCGCGCCCATGCGCCTGCTCGTGCGCGCACCACGTGAAAAAGCTCCCGAGCCACGGGGACAGCTCGGCTGACCCCAGAGAGCAGAACGCAAGGAAAGGTTCGGGCCACGCCCCGGCTGCTCGTTCTGACCCTCCGTGTCCGGGCCTCGTCCCGGCGTTGAAGTCCTCGGGTGCCTCCTGGACTGGGCATCGCCCCACCTCACCCCAGAGAGCAGAACGCAAGGAAAGGTTCGGGCCACGCCCCGGCTGCTCGTTCTGACCCTCCGTGTCCGGGCCTCGTCCCGGCGTTGAAGTCCTCGGCTGCGTCCTGGACTGGGCCTCGCCCCACCTCGCCAGAGAGCAGAGAGCAAGGAAAGGTTCGGGCCACGCCCCGGCTGCTCGTTCTGACCCTCCGTGTCCGGGCCTCGTCCCGGAGTTGAAGTCCTCGGCTGCGTCCTGGACTGGGCCTCGCCCCACCTCGCCAGAAAGCAGAACGCAAGGAAAGGTTCGGGCCACGCCCCGGCTGCTCGTTCTGACCCTCCGTGTCCGGGCCTCATCCCGGCGTTGAAGTCCTCGGCTGCGTCCTGGACTGGGCATCGCCCCACCTCGCACCCACGTTGGTCTGAAGCGGCGTTCGTCACGGCCAGCTGCTGTTCTGGTCTCGGAGCGAGACGCTGTCCCAGCTCTGTTCGCGGCAGTCGGCGGTACGCTGTTCTCGGTGGCAAGCCCAGGTGTTGACCACCGTACTGGGATGGCCCTGGCGGTTATCTTCTAGACCGAGCCCCGCCTCGGTAGGAACTCCGCAAGCACCAGGCATCGCGCCTCCTGACTACCAGAGAGCTCAAGGTGAAGAGCAACGTTCACGCCCCAAGCGTAGAATGTGAGTGAATGAACAAGAACAATAACTCTCTTCGCGTAGGACCGTTAGCGCGTGTATATCTGTGTGAGTTTATGTTGTGTGTATCCATTTGTCCGTCTTCGTGTGTATAAAAGTCTCTCGTTGTCCTCGAACGTCCTCTGTCCTCATCTGGCTAGCCTGCGCCCACAGTTGCCCACAGACGTCCTCCACTGCCGCTGCGTGTGAAGATGCTGCGGCCGGGTTCGTCGATTTCTCTGGCACGGCACAGAAACCACGCACGAGGCAGGATAACAACAACAACGGGTTTATTAACCCAAGATGCAGCACAGTGCGACACTCACGGGCTTGCAGGCCGAACAGGGAACTCCGCAAGACCGAGCAAGTACGCTTGCCTAGGGCGCGACAACTCCCGTACAAGGGCCAAAACGAACACACGAACGAGAAGAAGCCGCCTGCTAAGCAGCACGTCAACCTCTCGTGGAGGCCTGAGAGCATCTGCCGCAACGAGCGAATCGTTGGGCGCAACATAGCTCGTAAGAAAGGAGAATGTCATGCACGGCCCAGAGGGAAATGGCGCTGCGTTGTGACGTAGGCCCGCGCAGCGCGCCAGCGTAGCGTGCCCGGACATGCCAGCGCGAGAAGGAGCCGACGGTTGACTGCCCAGACCAAGAGGCGCCCTGGCAGCCATCTTGGCGGATGTCGGTGCTTATGCGCGCCCGAGCTATGCCGTCGGCGCGCGCGCGGCAGCTGGGGAACGAAGCGGAGGGCACTCTCGATTCCCACAACGTCCAAGAAACGACGCAGATGACGCCGTACAAATTGGTCTATGAAAGGAGCCCGGTAACGACACTCAACGCTATGCTTCCAAACGTCGCCGACGAACAGAACCTTGTCATTGCCTACCGTCAGCGCGCGAAGAAGCTCGTCAACTCGCTCGCCTGCGCATCAAGAATCAACAGGCGATCGACAGCCGCCGTTACAATGTTCGACGAAGCTTCGTTGGTATCAGCCCGGGGACAGTGCTTGGATATGGATGCCGATACGCCGACGTGGGCTCAGTGAAAAACTTCTGCGATGGTACTTCGGACCATACAGAGTAGTTCAACGAATCGGCCCACTCGACTACGAGATTGTTCCCGACGGCATTCGAAATTCTTAATGGCGCCATGCAAAACCTGAAGTCGTACATGTTGTGTGCCTCAAGCCATTTCATGCGCGAACCTGAGGACTGTATTGTTATTGCTGTGCTTTATTGCTTGTACTTATAGTTCATTTTCTTTATTATTGTATCTCTAACTTCATCTTTTTTTTAAGCATTGAGACGATACCTTTTTCAAAGGAGAGCAATGCCACATTCTTGCCTTATTTTGTGTAATCGCCTTGTTTCACTGTCCGTAATATTTAGCACAAACCATGCCTACTCTGTTGAGAAGCTTCGAAACAGCAGTAGAGCAATTTGTTAAGATTACGCACACTTCTTGAACTTTACAGACTATTCTGGAACCTACGCTGCGCTAGCAATAAAGCTAAAATATTCTATGGCAAATGTATAAATGCCGACTCGCTTAGCCGCTTGTCAGTTGACGACGGCAGACCCTCTGTTTGCCGCTATCAGTGCCAGTGTCTTGCTGCAATAAGACTTTCCTTTTGCGTGGCCGCAAGTGTGGCCCGAATAAGCAGTTTATCGTAGAACTAGAATCTGCTCCCTTCATTCACGTCAAAACACCGTGACAATATTTACAGGTTATTACTTACATTCTCCTGCAGGTCATACCCTGCTACTTTTCAAAATTTCTTTGACTCCTTTTAAAGGGATCCTGCAACACTTCTTGAGCCTGGTCAGAAAACACTGTTGATCGGTAGTCAAGCTCCCCGAGAACATGCAAGCCAATATTATTTGCAACTCCAGATAACGCTCCTTGTGCTGGCAACACTAGCCAAAAAAAAAAAAAAGCGCCTAACGGGGTCAACCTGGCACTTTCGTTGCGGCTTCACTTGGCGCTATGCTGAAGTGTCTTGATTGCAATGTCGGATCGCATCGCTTCGTTGAAGCGGAAAGGGTGCTGGCCGTGGACTGCCTCATACTTATCTGCATAAAGGATTTCATAGGCAAGCAGTGGAAATAGTTGCGCTGTGCAAGCAAACATCAAGCCTATTCGACGAGCGGCGTCATGTTCACTTCAAGTTGAAGGAACCTGTCTAGCGAGCTAGAGGTTGAAGATAGCAACTGTTTGATGTACACGGGTTGCTAAACTGCTACATGCAAGGCCTTATCAATTTTCAGGGTAAGTACGCTGAGACTCGTGCTGCCAATTGCATATATCCCATTAGGTTTTGTTGTGCAGTCAAAAGCTGAAACGCATGCCATTCACTTGATGACATAACGGAGATATTTTGGGCCAGTGTATTTGGAGATAAGGCAAATCATAATTTAAATCGTAATAGGAGTGCTCCTTTTAGTTCACCGATCCATGTTATTGGGGTTTTCTAATGAATAAGGCCGTGTGCTTCCGAACACTCTCTTGTTCGTGTTGGTGTAGTGATTTTGCCACGTGCATTTCTTACTTTCATTCTGATTGTCTTCTTTGATTTCTTTTTTTACTTTGACTTGGTTTTCGCCCATAAAGCTAGGTCAGTATGCTCAGCACACTGCGCATTATTGTTCAAGAATCTTTGCAATCCTTATATATCATTTTCTTAAGATTAAGCCCCCCCTCTTCATAGAGATTACATATTACTCCTCTAGCTGCGTCACCTCTAGTGAAAACGCTAGAATATTCAATGTCAAGTGTATAAATGACGACCCGATTCACCGCTTGTCAGTTGATCGCCGGCTGATGATGCTGTGCTCACCGCTATCAATGCCTGTGCGTTGCTGTAATTTGACCTTCAGTTTCCTATACACAAGTTCGGCCAAATAAAGAGTTCGGCCAAATAAATAAAAACAAACTGCAAAGCAGTGGCCCACCTTTGCCAGCTGCTGTTGCCAGAGCAGCCGCTCCTTGTTGTGTCCCTCCTCCTTCTCATGCCAGCGCTTCTCTTCCTCCTCGACCGATCGCTGGAGGTTCTGTAGGATGTCCTCAGTCTGGGACAGCACCTGCTTGTAGTGGGTCACCTAAGAGGTGGTAGACACAGCTTAGAGGACACGCCGACTGGTTCCTAGTTTATGTGCACTACGTGTTAAAGTAAGCTACGAAGTCATCAGAGCCCTTGGTTGACTCCGACGAACGATGTGTCGACGCTCCGCGGCCGTTCAGCGATGGTGCGACCGAGCGCGTTGCCTCCGACGACGATGACGGTGAAGCGAACTCCGGACGACTACGAATCGACGCCAAGGTGGTGTCGATTCGTAGTTGAAGAAAATCATGCCCGGGAGAAAGCGACGCTCGACCGGCTTTCATCGGCGCCAGCAACTGCACGGAAAATTGACTTTTTCACCGCGAGTTGTAGCGAGGCAACCGCACAGGACTCGGACCACGCTGCTCCTTATCTGCTTATGCATCTAGATATCCTAAACGCGATAATGGGTGCCTTGTGTTGCAAAGCCTGCCACGGACCGGCTACGATCGTCAGAGGGGATCGGGACTACGGACTTGCCGTGAAAGTGCTAGTGCAGTGTGAAAGGTGCGGCGAGATCGCGAATGAATGGACTTCGCCCCGCACGAATGGCACGAAAACGTGCAATCCGTTTGAAGTAAATCTTCTCGCTTCGAGGGCGATGGTGGCTAGCGGCAACGGCAAAACGAAAATGAGTGATATTTTCGCAACAATGGGCATCTCACACCGCGGTATGCACCACAAGACGTTTCAGCGGCATTTGAAGAACACGCTGGCACCCGCTGCAACGCGAGCGGCTGAGTCCGCTATGAGCGAATGTGCGGAAAAGGTTAGAACAATTTATGATGACTTGTGCTTCGGCCACCGGGGCAATATTGCCGTTAGCTACGACGGCACGTGGAAGACGCGAGGCCATTCTTCTCACATCGGGTGGGCACAGTTATCGAATTATTTAGTGGCTACGTGTTGGACTACGTCGTTCTTTCCAACTTTTGCCCTAGGCTGCGAGGTGGGCCCAAAGCCTAGTAGTGAGGGCTATCAAGAATGGAAGGCTAACCACAAATGCCAAAAAAAATACGAACAGCAAGCGGGGCAAATGGAAGTGGAGGCGGCTCTAATTCTATTTCAGAGGTCGCTTGAACGCCATGGCCTGCGCTACAACAACTATGCTGTCTGATGGAGACTCTAGGACATTTTGCGCCATACAAGACGCCAAGGTGTCTGGTTACATTGACGTGCAGAAGGAAGACTGTATTAATCATGTACAGAAACGGATTGGCCACCGCAGTGAGAAACCTGGTGCAGAACAAAAGTGCGATGGGAAAAGAGGCCTTGGTGGGAAAGGCAGGCTCACAGGTGAGCTGATCACCAGGCTGAGCACATATTATGGCCGGGCTCTGAAATCGCATGAAGGTGACGTGGCGAGATGCAAAGGCTGTGATGGCCACATACCGCCACGTCACCTCCACTGATGAAATGCTCGGACCACAGTCTGTGCCCAGCTGGTGAAACTTCATGGTGTCGGCACAATGCCGCAAAAAGCAAAGGGTGAGCCCGACCCCAGGCATGCCTACAATCTACCGAAAGACGTGGCAGAGGCATTACTACCGGTTTATACCCGGCTTTCGGAAAGAGCCCTGCTTCAGAGGTGCGAACGCGGCAAAACGCAGAACTCCAACGAGAGCCTACATTCGGTAATCTGGAGTTTGGCCCCCAAGGAGCACCATGCGTCCCTGTTCGCTGTTGAAGCAGCTGTTGCAGAAGCAGTGCTGCGCTTCACACGGGCAATTTGAATTCTGCAACGGCAATCTTACGTGAAATGGACATGAATGCGACAAGTACTGGTGCCAGGAGAGCGAGAGAAAAAGACCACCGTCGCAGCATTGTCTCCAACAAGAAAAGAACAGCCTCATTGGAACTCCGGAAGCTAGTGAAGAGGAGGCATGAGCACAGAATGCATTCAGACTATGCTTCTGGTGCGTTTTGAGGTTGTCTTGTTGCATCTTCTGCAATAAAAATGTGTGCCCACGTTTTTTCTCGATTTCTCAAAACGACAATTTTCATTGCCTACCGTCAGCGCGCGAAGAAGCTCGTCAACTCGCTCGCCTGCGCATCAAGAATCAACAGGCGATCGACAGCCGCCGTTACAATGTTCGACGAAGCTTCGTTGGTATCAGCCCGGGGACAGTGCTTGGGTATGGATGCCGATACGCCGACGTGGGCTCAGTGAAAAACTTCTGCGATGGTACTTCGGACCATACAGAGTAGTTCAACGAATCGGCCCCACTCGACTACGAGATTGTTCCCGACGGCATTCGAAATTCTTAATGGCGCCATGCAAAACCTCAAGTCGTACATGTTGTGTGCCTCAAGCCATTTCATGCGCGAACCTGAGGACTGTATTGTTATTGCTGTGCTTTATTGCTTGTACTTATAGTTCATTTTCTTTATTATTGTATCTCTAACTTCATCTTTTTTTTAAGCATTGAGACGATACCTTTTTCAAAGGAGAGCAATGCCACATTCTTGCCTTATTTTGTGTAATCGCCTTGTTTCACTGTCCGTAATATTTAGCACAAACCATGCCTACTCTGTTTGAGAAGCTTCGAAACAGCAGTAGATCAATTTGTTAAGATTACGCACACTTCTTGAACTTTACAGACTATTCTGGAACCTACGCTGCCGCTAGCAATAAAGCTAAAATATTCTATGGCAAATGTATAAATGCCGACTCGCTTAGCCGCTTGTCAGTTGATCGACGGCAGACCCTCTGTTTGCCGCTATCAGTGCCAGTGTCTTGCTGCAATAAGGCTTTCCTTTTGCGTGGCCGCAAGTGTGGCCCGAATAAGCAGTTTATCGTAGAACTAGAATCTGCTCCCTTCATTCACGTCACAACACCGTGACAATATTTTACAGGTTATTACTTACATTCTCCTGCAGGTCATACCCTGCTACTTTTCAAAATTTCTTTGACTCCTTTTAAAGGGATCCTGCAACACTTCTTGAGCCTGGTCAGAAAACACTGTTGATCGGTAGTCAAGCTCCCGAGAACATGCAAGCCAAATATTATTTGCAACTCCAGATAACGCTCCTTGTGCTGGCAACACTAGCCAAAAAAAAAAAAAGCGCCTAACGGGGTCAACCTGGCACTTTCGTTGCGGCTTCACTTGGCGCTATGCTGAAGTGTCTTGATTGCAACGTCGGATCGCATCGCTTCGTTGAAGCGGAAAGGGTGCTGGCCGTGGACTGCCTCATACTTATCTGCATAAAGGATTTCATAGGCAAGCAGTGGAAATAGTTGCGCTGTGCAAGCAAACATCAAGCCTATTCGACGAGCGGCGTCATGTTCACTTCAAGTTGAAGAACCTGTCTAGCGAGCTAGAGGTTGAAGATAGCAACTGTTGATGTACACGGGTTGCTAAACTGCTACATGCAAGGCCTTATCAATTTTCAGGGTAAGTACGCTGAGACTCGTGCTGCCAATTGCATATATCCCATTAGGTTTTGTTGTGCAGTCAAAAGCTGAAACGCATGCCATTCACTTGATGACATAACGGAGATATTTTTGGGCCAGTGTATTTGGAGATAAGGCAAATCATAATTTAAATCGTAATAGGAGTGCTCCTTTTAGTTCACCGATCCATGTTATTGGGTTTCTAATGAATAAGGCCGTGTGCTTCCGAACACTCTCTTGTTCGTGTTGGCTGTAGTGATTTTGCCACGTGCATTTCTTACTTTCATTCTGATTGTCTTCTTTTGATTTCTTTTTTTACTTTGACTTGGTTTTCGCCCATAAAGCCTAGGTCAAGTATGCTCAGCACACTGCGCATTATTGTTCAAGAATCTTTGCAATCCTTATATATCATTTTCTTAAGATTAAGCCCCCCTCTTCATAGAGATTACATATTACTCCTCTAGCTGCGTCACCTCTAGTGATAACGCTAGAATATTCAATGTCAAGTGTATAAATGACGACCCGATTCACCGCTTGTCAGTTGATCGCCGGCTGATGATGCTGTGCTCACCGCTATCAATGCCTGTGCGTTGCTGTAATTTGACCTTCAGTTTCCTATACACAAGTTCGGCCAAATAAAGAGTTCGGCCAAATAAATAAAAACAAACTGCAAAGCAGTGGCCCACCTTTGCCAGCTGCTGTTGCCAGAGCAGCCGCTCCTTGTTGTGTCCCTCCTCCTTCTCATGCCAGCGCTTCTCTTCCTCCTCGACCGATCGCTGGAGGTTCTGTAGGATGTCCTCAGTCTGGGACAGCACCTGCTTGTAGTGGGACACCTAAGAGGTGATAGACACAGCTTAGAGGACACGCCGACTGGTTCCTAGTTTATGTGCACTACGTGTTAAGGTAAGCTACGACCAACCTCCTTGTCAAGCTTGGCATTGGCCAGAATGAGCTGCTGCAGCCGTTCCACATCTTCCATGACTCCGCTGGTTTGGGACTGCGTTGAGGCTGATAGTGCCTGGTGGTCACCAGTGCCCCGTTGTAGCTGCTGCTGCTGCTGCTGTTGCCACTTCTGCCACTGATGCAGCTCCCTCTCAAAAGCCACCAGCCACTCGGCATGGCTTAATCCAGCATCCACCTGCAGACACGCATGCACTTCAACAAACTTTCTAATTTGATCTAAATCAGTCGTCAAGCAAAAAAACAGCGAACTGGTTGCGCCATCTGTTGGATGATAATGTGTATAGGGACCACTCTCAATGATATAACCCATAAATAAAAGATTGCCATCAAAATAAAAATAGCAGTATTTTGCCATCAACGTGTTGTTCCTCTCAATGATATAACACATAAATAAGAGATTGCCATCAAAATAAAAATAGCAGTATTTTGCCATCAACATGTTGTTCCAGCTGATCATTCAGCATTTTGCTATACAACATTCTGGCACAGTAGGCGAATGTAGTGGCCTAGTGATGGACTGTTGTTCCTCACCCAGCTTCCTGCCGTTATAAGAGGCGTCACCTATGAGATGGCAGCGCATGGACTGCCACCATTACTACTATTTCTGGAGATGCAACAATGCCATGGGAGCAGTGGCACAATAATTTCACAAATCTTCTTGAAGTGACGGGGATGGAAGTGTAACTGCCACCACGGAAAAAAGCTATTCTGCTGGGATGTCTTGCGGTCAAGGAATGCCGTATTTTTCGCACATTAAGGCCCGGGGCTGGCAGGAATGCCAGACGCGACATAAGCCGGGCTGGAGGCAAGCAAGCTAGCAGGAAAAGACGAGATGGAAGCAAGTGGAAGCGATTAGTAAATCGAAACGTTCAGCCTATACGAACATCAGTTATCGAGCCCCATCAACGTACTGGTCGAGCGATGTCGATTCATGTTACGTCGGCAACTGTCGAATGAGCCAATACAAGTACGTCAGAGGGCTCCAACCGTTAGAAAACATTTGCGACTTCGGGGACTTGACAATGTCGACAGAATACGGAGCACCGAGTTGCGGGAAAAATTGCCCATGAAGCCGTCACAGCTTACGCTGGCACAGGCTGTGGAAATGCTGCAGACATACAAGCAGGCAGAGGAGGGCATTGCAGATTATGACCAAGGATCTCCACAAACAGACATACAGTGAAATCTTGATACACCGAATCTCAAGGAACCGGTAAAGATCATTCGTTATTTTAATAAGTAGTTAGAGTGAAAATATTACAAATGTGCACAAAAAACATGAATGCAACCACGTGAATCACCAAACTACACTGCATTTTATTCGTGACCGCACTATGCTCTGATGAGCACGAAAAAAACAAAATATTACAAAACCAGTGAACATTTATTTCAGAAAAGGTGCATCTATCTTAATGAGGGCAACTCGACTGCATAACACAATACAGTGAAACCTCGATAAAATCAACGCTATATTAACAAACTTTTTCAGATCAATGAACATTTAAAAAATTCTGCACCGACTGCCAATAGTTTTAATGTAAAATTATTTCACTACTACGAACTTTAGAGTACCCAACTTTTCAAAATAACGAAGGCTAATTTAGTTCCACATTATATCAACAGCACCTCGGGACTACCAACTCACGTTATGAAATCCGTCGCGACCACCGGAGCAGTACACAAGCAGACGACACAGCAAACGGACTCCTCGCTTCTCAGAAGATGTGCGACTGTGCGGAGGGGGGCAAAAACGAAAGGACAACCTTTTCTTTTTTTTGTTGAAACATAGACGCTGCAGGTTTACAAGCCCAGAGGCGAGGCGCAAAGACAACATGGAAGGACGAGGTGAGCGCAGCAGAGTGGGAGTTGTGGAGCATGAAACATGGGCGCAGAAAACCTGAGACAATGAGGGAGCAGTAAACAAAATGCAAGAAATTTTCTTTTTTAGCTCTTTCTTTTCCTCAGAAAAGAAGATGACAGCCGCAATGCTTCGGGTTTTTCTTATCTTTGTCGCTTTTAAATGTGCTCTGAAGGCCTTCTCAGTCGTGTTCATTTCTTTTCGGTGATTACTTATCGCCTCCGCAAAGCAAGTTGGCGTTCGCACTGCAGAGAAGCAGAGATGAGTTCATCTCTGCTTGCAATGCCGAAGCGGAAGCACTTTTCACCAAGCAAGAAAGTGGGTATTTTTCGGCAACCGAAAGGCAGAAAAACAGGCTGTTGTGGCCAAAAAACTTGAAGTGCACACGTCAAAAACAAAAAAATCACAGACTTCTTTAAGTATACGAGCACTTCTTGATGTTTACTTGTGCATTTGTTTTTTCTCGATCAAGAATGCAAGCGCGATATCAGAACTACGAGCTTGCCTTACTGCAAGAATTTGATGAGTGTAATGTGAAGTGAGTGCACAAGAGTGAGTGCGCGAATCAAGAGCACCAATGACTTTATTAATGAACTCTTCGTCGGCGTTTCTAGCATGGCTGAGCAGCTGCAGACAAACTTCACATGAAAGTAGACCGACTTTTTTTACAATTATTAGAGTAAAACATTATTACCTTGAACTTGGTTATTTTGAAATCTTCCTTAACACGAAATATTTCTGCAGTCCTGTATATTGCAATGGAAGTCTAAATGGATAATTTGAAGCAGCGGGCACTACCACTCCAGTTAATTCAAGAATTTTGGGTGCCATATGCTAATTCCAGATACTGATTTGCCGCAAATCCGCGGAAACGACACTCCTTATTAGCCACAAGGCAATGCAGCGTAGCATAGCCATACTAATGGCACCTGAAGCACCCCAGCCTCGCCACTTCTAGTGCAAAAAAAAAAAAAAAAACAAGACAAAGTCACAGCTTTGCCACAAAGGCAGGGCAACGAATGCGATAGCAACAAATTGGAAGGTCAGGCGCCGAATGATAAGCAGATCAAAACGTGCCCTGCGTTTCTCACGCACAAATGACGCTCGAAACGTAATCACAGGTATAGATGAACGCGAATAAGCGTTTCAGGTGTTACTTCGCTGTGTCTGAAAAGCGTGCCCTTTTCGCAAATGGAGACTGTGCAAGGATTGTAGTGACATTTGTGCGCCTGGTAACTACAAGAGAAACGTTCTAGTGAAAGCCCAACGCCAGCCAAGATGAGCGATCGTCCCACAGCGAGATAAGGGCGCGTAAGCGAGCATCCATTTTCACCACCAGGTGTTCTGCACTATGAGATGTAAAGTACGCGTGGGATATGAGAACGCGCGCTGCCGCGCTCATTCCGCCATCTTGCTGGTAATGCTGAAAACACGAAAGTTCGCCGCCGAGTCGCCCATAACCAGCGGTAAGTGGTAGATATAAATAGCTTGTCATTTGAACGTTCAAGGACGTGCTCCTCGGTGGCTCAGTGCCTAACGCCTCGCATTCGCGACTCAGAGGCTCCACGTTCGATTCAACGTGTGGGAGTCTTTTTCAGAATTTTTTTTTCTTTCTTGCATTTTCACATAGATACGTATACATATACAGTGAGTGACAGCGACACTCACATATACGCCGACGGCAAATTCCAGTGGAGAGTGTCTATATAATTTCTATGGCAATAAAAAGGGGGGAAAAACGGTCTCGTGGTCTGCTGAAATCTATACCTGCGGAACACAACACCTGGTTCACTGCAACACAGTGGTGACGCGTAGCCAGCATGTAGCATGTTCCTTACAACGTAAATGCGGCCCTTTCTTTCTGGAATTGAAAAAAGTAAGAGCAGTTTGGCGAAATTCGCAATGTATGCGCACCTCCCATTGCCGGTAGCTCCAGCAATTTGCACACTTGCGCTGCTGGCAAAGTTTTTGCCTGCACCCATGCTGTGAGTGCAGATGTAGATTTTCTTTCCGCAAGCTGAAGAATGACCACACATGGATTCCAGAGATCGCAACCACCTCATCGGCTCAAGGAGACTGTTTATAGCTCAGAAAAGTTTTTTGATTGTGATGAAAATGAGAATATAAGATTGTCACATCAATGGCACAAGCATGCCACTGCCCAATAAAAAATAAGTGATATTTCTGGCTATGGAAGTCATAAAAGTACAACTGCTCGCAAATAGTGATTTGGTTCTATCTATTATTAGGAGAAAAAAAAAGCTCTTGCAGGTAGACGTACTTTGTTGATAATAAATATGTATATAACTTCTAATTACATTCTATGCACTTTTTTCAGCTTTTCTTTACACCAAAGAGTACTTTTGCTTTCTTTTACGCGTCCGAAGAGGCAGCGGTGATGTTGCTGGCGAGCCGGCAAGCAGTGGAGAAACATGAGTCACACAAGTATAATAAAAAAAAAGCGCCTTGTGCAGTGCAACTGACTTCGAAAGATGCTTACAAGTCTTCATGTGTAAAGAACATAGAAGGCAGCTCAACAGTCAAAACTATCGTGCCTTCAGTTTCCACTTGACCAAGGCATCTGTATTTTCTCACAGCAAGGACCTTGTGCGCAGCGTGTCAATCGTTTGCATTAGTAGCACCTTTGGCATGATTCTTCAGCCAAAGGTGCTACTAGCTTTCAACGTGAAGGAACTGCGTGAAAAGAGTACTTCTCCCTGGAGCAGCCATATTTGCTCACATCAGCATTTTGTAGGAGTTCAGAGATATCGGATCTAAAAGAGTTGGCCGCCAGCCTTACTTCATGTAACAATACAATATTTTGCTATCGCTTTCATTGCATTGCATTCATCATGCCGTCGTGCAGTTGCCAAAACCAATCGGCTAATCATGATCATAATCGGCTAATCAAGCTATAAGTCTGCAAAACCACGGCGCGACGCAAGCGAAGGTGCGTGACGAGTAAACCGCCCAAGATCCCTCGTCACCGTGGTCTCGGAGAGTTTCCAACAGCGCCTAATCTGACAAACCCTTGGTGGTGACGATACAGTTGTCTGCATTAAAAAAAAATGCCAGGCTGAACATCGTCGGGAGCCACAGCATGTGCACACAGTGAAGCTGTGCGTGCGCGCATGGCATCGAAAAGGAAGAGCGAACGACATGGACACAGACACAGATACCATGGGAAACTATTTGGCATACCTCCCAAGTTCAAGAATCCTGAATCCGGGAGATATCTGCAACAGGGAGGGGGGGGGTGTTAAAGATCAGTAACAAACAAGAAACATCGCGAAAAACAAAAGGGGGTGCTAGGAGGG